ATCTCTCCCGCTTCCTCTCTCACACTCTCTCTCTCCCTCACTCGACTCTCTCTCTCTCTCTCGTGCACACAGCGTACGGAGGCTAAGTCGTGCGAAGCAGCTCGTTCCGCGCGGTTGCCACGAGGAAGCCGCTGCATGAGGCTGCGATCGAGTCCTGCGCGCCGACCATGACGACAAACTCGGCGGATGCGGTGCTGCAGCTGCTGCGCCGCCGCGCTCGTCGCCGCGCCGATGCGACTCGCCAAACTCCGAGCCGTCATCCCGCCGCACCGTGCGCGCTGCCGCCGCCGCCGCGCCGCAGCGCGTGGCGCCCCGCGCGCGGGGCGACGAGCCGACGACTGCCCGGCGGAGAAGGCCGGATTCGCATAGCCGCCGACAGGAGGCGATCGGGAAAAGGATGCTGCGGAAAAGCCGCCGGCGGACGAGAAGGAGCGCGGAGAGGGGGTCGAAGACGAGAGAGAGGGCACGGTTGAGCCCAATGCGGAGGAGGAGGAGGAGGTGATGTTCAGAGCGGAGGGAAAGACCCGTCCCAGAAGCCGTGCAGCAGCAGACAGCAGACCAGTGCGGTGCAACGTCGGGCAAAGACGACGTCGCGGGTGACGAGGAGGAGGTGGTGGCGGAGGAGGGAGGAGGTGCGGAGGAGGGAGCAAAGCAGCCGGCGGCGGCCGGAGGAAAGAAGCGCCGACAGCTGCGCTACTCGGTAGCGGCGCCTCGCAGCGACCGCCGACACCGTGACGGCGCCGCGCGACGCGAGCCCCGAGGCGCCCCCTGGCGGCGGCGACAAGGCGTCTCAGACGTCGACCCCGCCGTCTCAGACCGACGCCTCGCCCGAGTTTGTCACCGCCGACTTCTACTTTGACGAGTCGATGCCGTCGTCTTACACGGACAGCAGCGGCGGACACCACAAGGTGGCGCCACGCGAGCTCATCGCCGAACTCCAGCGGCAGCTGCACGAGCGAGACCAGGCCGTCGCCACGCTCAACCAGCAGGTGGCGTCGGCGCAGGCGGGACTGCGCGTCGCTGAGGCGCGCGCGACACGCGTCGCCGACGCGCGGGTAGAGGGCGCCGCCGTGCTGCGCGGCGAACTCGCCGAGCTGCGCTCCGTCGTCGCCGGTTACCGCGAGTCGTCGACGCTCGCGCTCGACGACGCGCGCGTTGCCACGGCGACGCTCCGCGACGCGGTCGCCGTGGCGACGGACGACGCGGAGGAGCGGGCGCGCGCGCAGCTAGAGGTCGCCGCCGAGAAGCTGCGCGACAGCGAACACCAGGTGGAGCTGTACGGCGAGAAACTGCGTGAGCTCGGGGAGCGGTTAGAGGGCGCCGCGACGGAGCACGGTCTCGCGCTCGACGCGCTGACGTGTCGCTGGGAGGCGGAGCGCGAGGATCTCGTGCGTCTCTCGACGCTCGAACACGAACTCGAGATGGACGGCCTCCAGGGGGCGCACCGCGTCGACCTGGACGCGTGCGACGACGAGGTGCGCCGCCTGGTGGCGGCGGCCGGCGACGCGGAGCGTCGGCTCGAGGAGGTCGCGCGAGAACGGGAGGGGCTGCGGCGGGAGGTGGAGGCGAGGAGGGGGGAGGCAGAAGCTGAGAGAGAGGAGCTAGCGGTGGCGAGGGAGGAGGCGAGGGCGGCGTGGGAGGAGGTGCGGGCGGCGAAGGAGGAGGCGGCGGCAGCTAAGGAGGCGACGAGGATGGCAAGAGAGGAGACGACAGTAGCGAGAGAGGAAGCAATCATCGCGAGGGAGGAGGCAACTGCTGCAAAGGAAGAGATGGCGACGGCAAGGGAGGAGATGACAATGGCTTTTCGATTTCCCAGTCGTCCGCCATGACGGAGTAGGAGAGACCGCGAGAGACAATGCCAGACGGACGGACGAGTCATCATCGCTCGGCACCGTGACGACCCCCCCCCCACCCCCCGCCCGCGGAGCAGAAGACGGAAACTGCAAAGATGCTGTACGTGTTTCTCGTCGACACGGGGACGATGGTGACCTTTGACATGAACGTCGCCATGCAGACGGTCGCACACCTGCAGACGGTGATCGCGCGCAAGTGCAAGATTCCCGAGGAGAAGCAGGTATGCGTCGCACCCGCCCCCGTCATCTCGAACTCACGCGCCCGCGTCAGCCGTCGTGTTGTCCTAGCTTTAGGCTGTGGTCGCCGTTTGCTGAAGTGGGTCGCTGACCCATGCACCCCCATGCACGCGTACACCCACGCACGCACGCCAGGGTATTAGCCAGGAATGAGTATTGTGGAAGTGCAGAAAAAATATTTGGGAGTGCAATTTTTTCGCACGTGTGTCTCAGCCAAGACAATAGATCAATATTTTAGGCCGTGCTACACATTATTGGCCGTGCCGTTTCAAAACTGACCGTGCAAATCACGGCTGCACGGCTGATACGTTGGCGCACATGCTCCTGTTTACGCACTGCATTTATCGTTTTCCCAGCAGCGTCGCTTTGAACAGAATTATGTCAGCCGTTAGTTAATCTACGCCCTGGTCGCTGACTTTCCCCCGGTGATATCTTGCTTTCGCGCTAAGTCATCAGTCTAGCGTTCGCTCTGCCCCGACATTGAATCCTATCCACGGTTCATTGAACTATGCTCTCGGTCCAGCTCGGTCCATCTTGCACTGTCGCCTTGAACTCTGTCAGTGAACCGACGTTGCCGCCACCTTCATATCTATTCACGTCTCTAACGTTCGTCGTAACATTCTGCATTCGAATTAAAATTTGGTCGCCGCATTCGCCCCCTACTACCGCCGACATGCCCAACGCTCCGCAAACATTAACCAGACAAACATAATAACGCGTGTTGTCCGCGGCTTTGTGTACCTCGTCACCTAAATACTGTAATTGATACTTATACTTACCTAAATATTGTACCCAATACCTGGTATAACTATTGTACCTAATACCTAAATACTATAGCTAGTACCTAGTACCTAAATACTGTACCCAATACCTAGTATTTAACACTGTACCTAATAGGTAACTACTGTAGCTAATACCTAGTACTTAACACTGTACCTAATAGGTAACTACTGTAGCTAATACCTAGTACTTAACACTGTACCTAATAGGTAACTACTGTAGCTAATACCTAGTACTTAACACTGTACCTAATAGGTAACTACTGTAGCTAATACCTATG